AGGGCTAGGACAGACCATTACACTCAGGCCAACCAGGGCTTCATAGAAAGACCCTGTCTCAAACAAACAACCCTAAACACACACTCCACCAAGTGTCCAAGTAGTGAACCCACACAGGTCACTGTAGTAGTTACTTCCTCATTGCTCTGACCAAATCCCCAGCAGGAAGCCATGTAAGGGAGGAAGGATTTCTTTTGGCATCGGGTTGAGTGGGTGCCATCCATTGCTGCAGTACTGAGGTGAGCTTGGCACTCACCAGACCTTATTCTCTTACTTTCCATTCCCGCTGGCTTCCCACACCATGTTTAGAGCGTGGCTTCTTTCCTAGGTTCAACACCCCAGACACACGTTCACAGCATGCCCAGACATGTGTCTTCTAAGTGACCTAAACTCAGCCAGGTTGACAATACGGATGAGCCATCACGGTTGTGCAGGCCCTGGAGAATACACTCACTCATGAGCCAGTGCGAGTGAGAGAGGCAGGTAATGTGTGAGCATTATTAGGCGTGGACACAGATCCCCGAGTGGAGAGTTGGATCACACTGTAGTAAAGGTGGCCTTATGCCCGTCCTCTGTCCTTCTCACTCCATTGCCCCCCTTCTTCCTGTCTCTTCTTTCTCTTTCTTCTCCTTTCTCCCTGCCCCTGTTTTCACTGTGACCTGAAACCCAAGATCTTCCTACGTCAGCCTTCATGCCGTGCTGGGACTATAGGTCTGACTTGGAGGGTAGTCATTAATCTCCCCGACCCACCCCTGCCATACAGGGTTTCTCTATGTACCCCTGACTGTCCTGAAACTCACTCTATAGACCAGACTGACCTTGAACACACAGAGCTCCACCTGCCTCTGCCTCCCAAGTGCTGAGATTAAAGACGTGTGCCACCACCACCTGGCATCATTGATCTTAAGAACAAAACCATTCTTTTTGTTTTATTGTAAATGATGTAAATTGTTAAACAAGTATAAAATGCAACAATATTTTGGTCGATGTTTACCTTTTAAAATAGTAGATGCTGTGCTTGTTAAACATTTCAAATTGTTTTTCCTTATTTTGCAGTTCCTCAGTTTGAAACTGCATGTAGTTATGTGGATGCTACACTGGAGGAGTTTCTGGCCTGGAACTGTGACCATTCTAATGTCTCTGGACCATTTAAAGATTATGACCGTTCTAAATTCTGGGCTTATGCTGACTATAAATATTTTGTCAATCTGTTTGAAGACAAGACAGATGTTTTCCAGGTGAGTTATACTTTTGGTTTTTGGTTTTTGGTTTTTGTTTTGTTTTGTTTCTTTTTTTTTCTTCTTCTTCTTCTTCTTTTTTTAAGCTTTGGAGGCTGTCCTGGAACTCTCTCTGTAGCCAGGCTGGCCTCAAACTCACAGAGATCTGTCTACCTCTGCTTCCCGAGTGCTGGGATTAAAGACATGTGCCACTATCACCTGGCTGAGTTATGTACTCTTTTTAGTCTTGGTAAAAATTTTCTCCTGAGAGTAATCCTAAATTAGAATTTCGCTGGTCCCTCCTTCCTTAACTACCATTTTCTCATATTTATCATGTGAGACCTGACCATTTGGCCCACACAGATGAGAGGCACTTCCTCCACACCCTTCCATCTTTAAACAATGCCTGTGACATTTAGATTGTACTAGAAGCATAGACTGTGTGTAAAACTTTATTTTTCCTTAGCCTGCGCAGAACTCCTTGCTCTGGCTCTTCTGCGCTGCCCCGGGCTGGGTCCATACAGCGTTGTTCTTGATTCCCAATGTCGCTTAAAGGGAAATTTACACAATGTCTGGAGCCCTTGATGTCCTGCAGATGAAGGAGGAGGATGTCCTCAAATTCCTCGCTGTGGGAACCCACTTAGGTAGCACCAACCTCGACTTTCAGATGAGCAGTACATCTACAAAAGGAAAAGCGACAGCATCTACATCATCAATCTGGAGAGGACCTGGGAGAAGCTGTTGCTTGCAGCTCGGGCTTTTGTTACCATTGAGAACCCTGCTGGTGTCAGCACCATCTCCTCCAGGAGCACTGGGCAGCGAGCGGTTGGGCAGCGAGCGGTGCTGAAGTTTGCTGCCGCCACTGGAGCCACTCGGATTGCTGGCCATTTCACCCCAGGGACCTTCACTAACCAGACCCAGGCAGCCTTCAGGGAGCCACAGCTTCTAGTGGTGACCGATCCCAGGGCTGAGCCCCAGCCCCCCACAGAGGCTTTCTACATGAATCTACCCACCATTGCCCTGTGTAACACAGACTCGCCTCTGCGCTACGTGGACATAGCCATCCCGTACATCAACAAAGGAGCTCATTCAGTGGGTCTGATGTGGTGGATGCTGGCCCAGAAAGTACTGCGCATGCATGGCACTATCTTCGTGAGCACCCATGGGAGATTATGCCTGATCTTTACTTCTACAGAGACCCAGAGGAGATTGAGAAGGAAGAATAGGCTGCTGCTGAGAAGGTCGTGACCAAGGAGGAATTTCAGGGCAAATGGACTGCACCAGCTCCTGAATTCACTGCTGCTCAGCCAGAGATGGCTGACCGGTCTGAGGGTGTGCAGCCCTCGGTACCCATCCAGCAGTTCCCCACTGAAGACTGGAGTGCCCAGCCAGCCACTGAGGATTGGTCAGTAGCTCCCATAATGCAGGCCACCGAGTGGGTTGGAGCCACCACTGAGTGGTCCTGAGCTCCTCTGCAGACACCTGAGCAAAGGGAAAACAGGTGGAAGGAAAATAAAGTTCCTAAGGCTGAAAGAAAGAAAGGAAGGAAGGAAGGAAGGAAGGAAGGAAGGAAGGAAGGAAGGAAGGAAGGAAGGGAAGGAAGAAATCCTTGTGGTGCAGTGAAGAGGAGAGATGGAAGCTGCTTTCCACGCAGATGCCTTGGCCAGGCTGCCTCTGCCTTCTGTCTCTACTCAGGCTCTGGTGTCCTCGGGTAGCTTATGGCCCGAGGCAGAGTTCTGGGCTCCTAATGATGACAGACCCCCTGCTGAAGTGTAGGAATACTTGTGGAAGCAAGAATATGGAAGTTCTTTGCATGACACAACTGACAGCAGGGGCTGTAGACTGCCATGTCCTCTTTCCTCTTTAGTGTATTCTATCTCAAACTGTCGGTTTGTTTTGTGGGGTGATCTTGCAAATTCCTTGTTCTGGTTTCTGTTTCACGTTAGGTGTGGGGCAATAGGGAGTGGTTTCAGGGAGCTTGTTTATATGACTGCCTTACCCCTGACAGGCCTAGCTGCAGAGTCCAGCACCAGTACTAATCTTCTGTGGAGGGAAGTGTTTCCCCTTTAGTCAGACTATTCCCGACCACAGCCCTCTGCTCCCCACCCCTGCCCTTGCCTGCCCCACCCATGACCACTCCTGCTCTGGACCTTCTCCTGTGTGTGATGTCCATGCCTGCACTCCTATGACCGACCCTTCCTGTGTATGATGTCCATGCCTGCACCCCTATGACCGACCCTTCCTGTGTATGATGTCCGTGCCTGCACCCCTATGACCGACCCTTCCTGTGTATGATGTCCGTGCCTGCTCCCCTATGACCGCCCCTGCTCTGAACCCTCTCCTGTGTGTGATGTCTGCTCCCCTATGACCGCCCCTGCTCTGAACCCTCTCCTGTGTGTGATGTCCGTGCCTGCTCCCCTATGACCACTCCTGCTCTGGACTCCTGTGTATGATGTCCGTACCTGCTCCCCTATGACCACTCCTGCCCTGGACTCCTGTGTGTGATGTCCGTGCCTGCTCCCCTATGACCACTGCTGCTCTGAACCCTCTCCTGTGTGTGATGTCTGCTCCCCTATGACTGCCCCTGCTAGGGAACCCCTCTCCTATGTGTGATGTCCGTGCCTGCTCCCCTATGGCCACCCCCGCTCTGAACCCCTCTCCTGTGTGTGATGCTCTCACACCTGTTCAACCTGTGTTTTTCTTTTTCTTACTGAGTCTAGGTATTCACATAGTTACTGTAACTACAGATATTTGGTCATTTTCCTTTACTAACCTTTTAAAAGTTAAAAGGGTGATTTTTATAAAAGAGGGGAAGATATACCTTTCCCTCACCCTCATTATTTCTTGAGCTTCCCACTTTCCTCCCTCCCCTCTCCTTTGTTTTTCTTTCCTTCCTCTCGTGAGAAGCTCTCACCGTGTAGCCCAGTCTGGCCTTACCCTCCCCATCCTCGTCTCTACCTCCTGAGTGCGGGAATCTGGCTGGGCACCCTCGTCTGTAGCGCCTCTGTATTCTCACAGCCATGAAATAAATGGGTCGATTTTGAAAATACTCAGTAAATGCTTCCAAATCTCAACACCGTCCACAATCATCTTCTGAGGTAGATGGGGTTTCTTATAATTTTGAATCACATTGTGGATCTTTAACCCTGTAACTCATAGATTTCATAATTAACTTTTAGAGTACTTTGGTCTTCCCCATTCCCCTCAGCTACTCGTAGATTGTACTTCCACCCTCTCCCAGCACATTTCAGAAACTCTTGTGCAATAATGATATTTACCAAGCGCTCACATGCTCTTGGCCCCTAAATGCCTGACATCTAGAATCCTCACAGTGACACTTGATTTCATGATCATCTGTTTTAAGGAAGACAAGGCACAAAGAGGTTGTGTGAACCTTTTCTCACTAGGGGTCTGTTCAAGTTAGGTGAAGTACATCCAGCCATGCTGAGTCTAGCTCCTGCTACCTTGACTGCCTCTCACCAAACTTGGTCAGGTGACTGTCCCTTCTCAGGCATAGCCACCACTGGGCATGTGTACGGCTTGGCCATTAAGGATGGGAATAAGCTGGAGTTCTCAGTAAGCCCTTGTAAATCTGGTGATTTTAGCCCAGTGAGTTCATGTCAGTTCACGTTGTGGAAGTTAGTTCTCTTGTAGACAGTAAAGACTGTTAATATTATATTGTCCTTATCTGATAGTTTTCTGGGTACCAACTCTTTATATGTTATGCCCAGACTTCTTGCCTCCCAAAGGGACCACCAGGGATCGGGAACTTGGATGCAAACGCAAGGTTTATTGTACGAGCCTAGGCACGGAACTCATCTAGCACACTCAAGGCAGTGAGGGCCGGAGGAGCTCCCTTCCAGAGATTACAGGACTTTTTGTAGACCATTTTGCAGGACCACCAGTTTTCACCTAATTTTCATACCCAGAACTAATTGAGGACAGCAAATTCTAAAAACATGATATCATTATGCAAATGAAGTATGAACATGAGTATGTTCTTGGTTGGCCCTTTCTTATCTATCCTTGAGGTACATAGATGAAGCATACTACGGACATATTTTTAATTGGCCAGTTCTTGGCTGTCCTTGAGGCAATGCTCTCCCAGTTGTTACCAGCTCCTGTGATGGTCCTTGTCACATATGAAGTGTTTTCCAAAATAGTCTAGCCTAAACAGCGTGGTTCAGGTGGAAAGCGATTAGGTCACTCTGACACTCTGACCAGTTTTTCATTTCTCTCACATACATCATAGGTACGTAAATTCTTGTTGTGCTTTTAAAAATGCAGTTAGCTTTGTTACTTAATCATGCTTGTTACTGTTTCAAGCCTTTTTATATTGACATGAGATAATTGGTAAAGCAATACAATAAATAGCACAATAAGCCCATTACATGTTAATAACCAATGATATCCTAAGAGAATATGCTTTGAAATTCAACGTGATTAGAAGAGTGGGTTGCTCTCCGTTTTCTGCAAGTCATCTTCCTGCCTGGCTGCAGCGCGCAGTTGGAGTCTCCTATCTGCTGCAGTATAGCTGCTGCAATTTGTTGGTCTGTTAAGAGATGAAGAAAATCTTGTCTCAGCATATACAACTGAGAAAGGGGGAAGTATTTAACGATCTTTTCAGACAGTTGGGAATCTTTAAAATATCACACAAACTTGATGAGGGCTATTTTCTTTTTTGTTTTGATTTTGTTTTTGTTTTTGTTTTTCAAGGTAGGATTTCTCTGTGTAGTCCTGGCTGTTCTGGAATTGGCTCTGTAGACCAGACTGGCCCTGAACTCACAGAGATCCGCCTGCCTCTGCCTGGGATTAAAGGCGTGAGCCCCATTGTCCAGCATGCTTTTTTTTTTAAATTCATTAGCTGCAGAATAGACTATGAAATCACAGTGAAAGAACTCGTGTTCCTATAATAAAATCCCCTTGCGTAATGTCGTTCATTGGCTATTAGGAAATGTTGGATTACTGAATTATGTAGCTCTTCCAAATGCTGGTGTGCCCCACAGTGTGCTTGATGTGTCTCATTATTTAAGATCACGTTTGTTGGTGCCACACTTTTTTATGGACACAGTGTTTGGTACTCAGGAGTTTCTAAAGTCATATAGCTAAAGTGCAGTTTTATTCAACCCAGAATATTTGCTAACCTATCTTGTGATTTATTCTTTAATTTCTTGCTTAGTTTATAAGTGTAACCTTTTACTGAGCCATGTGGCTAACATAGATAAGAATAATGGGTTAATATAAGTTAAAAGAGCTAATACGAAGCCTGAGCTAATGGGCCAATGAGTTTATAACTTAAAAAGTGTAACCTTTGATTTATAATATTTGTTGGCTTTTTTAACCATCTTTTTGTCATTGACTTTTGACTTGATTTCACTGTCATCAGAAAATATATCTGGCATTATTTCAATTCTTTCAAATATATGTAAATTTGTTTTGTAGCCCAAAGTATGGTCGATGAATATTATTTGCAAACTTGGATATAATGCATTCTTTTATTGGCTGGGGTACCCTGTGAGTCTCCTTTAAGTCAGGCTGGGGTTTCAGGGTCACATCCTTACTGATTTCTATACATTCATTTTATCTACTATGTAGAGAGGGACACCACTAGTTCTTTTATGTTGGTCAGGTTTTACTTTTTACACTTGACTTTGTGACCTTTTATTGTGATGAAGTGAATTCATCTGCTTTGGTGTAGTCCTTTTTTTGATTCAGTTTACCCTGTGTTTGTCTTTGATTGATATTAGCACGAGAAAGGAATGCTTCATACGGAATTGAATTTCCATAAAATCCTAGAAATTACAAACCAATTTATGTGACAGAGTAGGTCGTTGGTTGTCAGAGAATGAGATTTGGAGGGAAACGTGAATCATGAGGGGCACTGGGAAAGTTTGGACATGGTCAGAATGTTTGTCATCTTGATTATCTTAATGAAGAGTCTCAAGAATGCAGATAGATCAAGTTCATCAGTCAGATGCTTTAAATATATGGTGTTTGCTGTACACCGATCATACCTCAATAACACTTTTAAAAAGAATATAATACTTGGGGCTAAGAGAGGGTTCAGCAGTTAAAAGCACTGGCTGCTTATCCAGAGGAGCCAAGCTTGATTCCCAGCACCCACATGGCATTTAACAACCACCTGTAATTCTAGTTCCAGTGGAATCTGATGCCCTCTTCTTGCCTCGGTGGGTATCAGGCATGCACTGTGGTTCACAGACATAATATATACAGGTAAAACATGCATACACATAAAATAAAGATAAGACTCAAAAATGCAATACTACTAGTATATTTTAACTGCACTACCTGACACTATCAGTTTTATTTGCTGTTGCACAACCAGTGCAAGTATCAACACAGTGAAATAGGCAAGTAGCAGTTCAGTAACATTGTGCAGATAGTTTTGACCTTTCAGATCCTCAGAAGGGCCGGAGGGAGTCGCTTGAGTCCAACATTGCTTCTATAATCATTCTATTCTTCTGACACTCTCTCCTCTAGTTCTAAAATAAATTCTTATGAAATGGAGACTCAAGTCATGTTTAATATTAAATACCAAAACATTTTTGTTGTATTCATAAACATTGAATGACTTGAAACTATGTCAGGGTAGCATTTAAATCCCTTCCCAGCACCCTAGCCCAACCACTTGGTCTGCATGAGCCACCACCTGGTCTCCCCATTGACTGCTGGGCAGTCCATGTTCTCGCCCACCTTCTGACCTTTGCTCAGACCCTCTAAGTTTTGCCAAAGAAGTTCTACTTGGGGCTGTCTCAGATTCAGCATTGGCTCTGAAACCTCAGCCACTTCAGCACACATCCCCAGCCATCATTCCTTTATGTCCTATTCAGACCAGTATTTCATAAAATTGTGTCTTGATCCTTTAACAACACTGGCTGTGTTCTTTACTCTTCTCCTCAGAACTGCTGACATAGTACTGAATATGTAATAGGTATTTGAATGATTACATAGTCCCTTAATCTTTACTACCCTTTAAAGAATATTTGGCTTTATCCTTGTCATATGTTCTGCGGCTTCTAGTTAACCGAGTGTGTAACATCTGTCAGCCTTCTTCTAGGTTTTTAAGTTTTAACCTACAACCTCTGTTTATGGTTTCCATATACTTCATCTTTTCTTCCATAAAGGAGATTAATTCTCTGTTAAATATACAATCTTTATATATTGACAAACTGATAACTGTACTGGTATAATTGGAAAATACTTGGCAGTCTTGGAGATGGCCTGAAATTATTATTTTGATACTTACCTGACTTTCGTGTGTGACAAAATGAGTCTCTCTGGCTTCTAGTTCCCCACCCATGCCATTCAATCAACACAGCATGGCTGAGCGCTGGGTCTCTACTGCCCTGGGAAGATAGGGAAGTTGTGAGAAACATTACCTTTATCTCTGGTAGTTGTGGATAAGCATTCTTAAAGTTGAGACTGTGAAGAATCAGCATATAATAAAAGGGATTGTGTCCCCCCAAGAATGTTTTCCTGGTAGATTCTATTTCACATTGTGATTGAGGTCGGCTCCAGAGAATCGGGAGCCTCATTAAGTCACCAGGACATAGAATCTGCAAAAGCAATAACTGGAAGATTAGTTCAGCTTGTTGGACTTTGTGGCCCAGCTGTGAGGATGTGTTGGAATGGAAGCAGGTGTTCTGGAAATGATTAAAGGTGTCTCAGACAGGGTGCTCCCTGGTGAGATAGATTGGCACCTCGGAATTCACATGATTAAAAAAAACAGAAAATAGAATTTAGGTATTTACCCAGTAGATAGAGACTTAATGACCTCTTCTGTTTCTGTACCTGCCGGTCTTTTTCCTGAGGAAAAAAGAGACTTTAAGTTTTGTATAATAATGATAGTTAACAATCTTGTGATTTTTCAGAGTTCTAGTTTTATTGCTTGTGACCAACTATTTTTATTCAGATGTAAGTTCATTGTGGAATTATGTAATTTGTTTTGCTGTATTGTGACCTGTGAATGAAAAATAACTGGAGTGATACAGTGACACTAAGGGATGGCAGAAGGAACAAATCCTACCAGTTTTTCTTTAATGTTTTTTGTTGTTGTTGTTGTTGATAATGATGTTAAAACTGTAAAAATATGGATGACTTCATTATATGTACAGCAATTTTAAAATGAAGCAGTGGCTATTGAACTCATTCATTGGGACAGGTTTAAGAGCTGTGGGCATGGTGGCTTTTAATCCCATTAGAGACCGGCAAACATGTGGATCTGCATTTTGGGCCAGCCTGGTCTAAAGAGTGAGTACTAGGACACCCAGGGCTACACAGAAAAACCTGTCTGTCTTTAAAAACAAAAAGCAAAACACTTTTTTAAAAAAAAAAATCTGGAAACAGATCCGGGAGCTCCTAGGAGTAGCCCAGCAGTTTTTCAAAAGTGCTGTGTCACCACCATGGGTATTGGAGAAGTCACCTTAGTGAGAGACTGAGCCGTCATGGCACTTGACCTGGCTAGTTTTTATGTCAACTTGACACAACCTCGGGTCATCTGAGAGGAGGAGACCTCAGTTGAGAAAATGCCTCCATAAGATTGGGCTCTGGGGTGCATTTTCTTGCTTAACGATTGATATGGGAGGGTCCTGGTGTTGTGGGTGGGCCACCATTGGCCTGTGACCCTGGGGTGTATAAAAGCAGGCTCAGAAGCAAGCCCTGAGGAGCACCGGTGCTTCCATGGCCTCTGCTTCAGTTCCCACCTTGACTTCCTTGGTGCTGGACCTGGTCCTCATGTATTGTCAGGTGAAATAAACCCTTTCCTCCCCAGGTTGCTTTGGCCATGTTCTGTCACAGCAGTGGAAGCCCTAAGACAGTGCTTTAAAGACTGGCCAGAAAGATGGGACCAGATTGTGTTGTCTGCCCGTATTCAGTGCACCTCCTAATTTATTATCTTGTCACTTACATATAGGGAATAGTTGAGGAATGCAGTACACTGTCAAAATATTGAGACATACTTTCTTATTTTTTACTGTAGTTTAAAGTCTCTGTTGTTTAACGTATTGAGGACCCGTTTGTTTTTGTTTGTTTTTGCCGTTTGAGACAGGGTTTCTGTACATCTGTCCTGAAATGCACTCTATAGACCATGCTGGCCTTGAGCCTTTGCCTCCCTATGGGGGACCTTTATAAAATAATGTGTTTATAGCCTCTCTCTCTCTCTCTCTCTCTCTCTCTCTCTCTCTCTCTCTCTCACACACACACACACACACACACACACATACACACACACACACACACACACACACACACTTTCCCCAAACCTCTCTAATGTGTACCATACTCCTGTTAAACCCAGTTCCTTCCCACATTCATGATTTTTTGTTTTGGGAGAAGTTGTTTTTGAGTCCCGCTGAGTTTAAACAGAATCATCTCTGTGAGCGTGGGTTTGGAGCTATCCATCAGAGTCTAGTGGGCTCCTTAGCAGGAAAAAACATGATAAAAATAAGGCCTGCCTGTCCCTCAGAGTCCTCACAGTTCTGAAACAAAGTGAGCGTTAATAGTCCTAAATAGGATATTTATACTACCACATCTAAGGCACAGGCATCATCCTGGGGTAGGGACCATTTTAATTAAGAAAGGTAAGGCAGAAAGATCACAGTGAGCTACGGTGCCTGCTGCCAAGTCTGATGACCTGCGTTTGATCCCCAGAACCCACATGGTGGAGGGAGAGAACTTATTCCCACAAATTGTTCTCTGTCCTTCACATGTGTGCCATGACACACACAATAAAATTTTAAAAAGATGAAGGAATTTTCAGTGTAGATTCTCATTGTTGATATATGTATCTAGAAGAATCCAGTTGCCAAATATTGTTACTGTGGCCTGGATGTAGAAGCAGGAGGATTGCATACCCTGGAGAAGGAGAAAGACAGCTTTGAGAAGTAACAGAAGGGTGACGGACCTTTGCTGTGGCTATGCTAAGCAGGGCCATCCAAAGAGACAGAAGATCGGTGTCTGCCTTTCTTCTCTGTTATAAACCAAGCTCGTTTTCATTGGCAAAGCTGTTTGTAATTTGTTCTAACTTATATTAACTATGAATGGACAATGCTCTTCTACTCGGGAGATGTGCTGTATTTGGTCTTACCATGAACCACTTCCTTAGGAGAACACGTGGGTGTACAGGTACATGTGGACATATGTGGGGCGGTAGAGACCAAAGGTCAACATTGGGTGCTCCTTGGGTATAATCTACTTGTTTTGTTTTGTTTTGTTTTTTGAGACATGGTCTCTCACTTGGCCTAGAATTCCTTCATTAGGTGAGGCTGGCTAGCCTGAGAGCCCCAGGTTTCTACCTGTCTCTGCCTCCCCAACACTGGGATTACAGGTCGGCTGCCAATCCCAGTTTCTCTGTGAGTAAGGGTTCTGGGGATCGGACTCGGGTCCTCCTGCTTGTACAGCAAACAATTATTGACTCCCCAGCCCTTTGAAACACGCTTACGCGTCACTTCCATCCTACATATCTTAGACATCTTTTTTTTTAATGTTTTGCTTTATTACTTTCACCATCTTTAAATTTGTATGTTTTCAAGATCCTCATCTTATGAATTTAAGCCAAACTTTAAAGCTATAATTGACTTTTCATTCTTTCAAAACCCATCAAGTAAACATAGCAAAACATTCTACTTAATTTTTTCCTAAGTAACCCCATTCCTTTAAAAAAAAAAAACCTGGCTGATATTGTAATACATCATTTTCCCCTTCCCTTTCCTCTCTCCAACCCCACCCTCATACTCTTCCTTTCTCTTCAAATTCATAACCTCTTTTTCTTTAATTGTCCTATATATATACATACACATATATATGAATATATATATATTTGTGTGTGTGTGTGTGTGTGTGTGTGTGTGTGTGTGTATGTATGTATGTGTCTTCAACAATGGGGATTTCCATTCTGCCTCTGGGGGCACAACCAAGAGCAGTAGCAACAGCTTCTAATGTTTGGGGAGCTCTTAGACATCCCTGACCAACCTACTGTTTCATCACTTAAAATAAATGTTTTTTTCTATCTTCCTCAAAACCTACCATTGAATGTATTTTTAAAATCTTTTCTCTTTGAATAAAGTTGTTAATATTTCTCCTCAAATTAGGAGAATTTAGACTGTAGATAGTGTGGTGTTTTGCTTTGTTTTGTTTTGTTTTTTGAGGTGTTAGCATTCGTGTGAGTATTCTGCCAATTAAAGTCTTTATGTTTCATTCTTTAAAAAAAAAAGAAAAAAATGAATGATGAAAGAATACACCTACATTCTCATGCGTGTGTCACTGGCTGTTTTTCTTTTCTGGCTTATGAGTGGGCAGGACCTGCCTCAGCACCTTGCCTCGGAGGGCCCTGGTGTGGAGCAGTGTGCTGTCTTTATCATACTTACGGAGTCATGGCTTGGGGCAGGTAGCAGAATCAATCCCTATGAATGACTGTTTCAAAAGCCATTCTGTGGCCCTCCTACTCGAGACTGGTGTAGTAGGAGTGAGCTAAGGCTCTGGTGTGGGTTTTCTGTGACTGAGCTCACCCATAAGGCTTCTTTCATGTGGCCATGGAAGTGGAAAAGGGTAATAAAGTGCCTACGCCCACAGATACTGTCTCTGCTTAAAGGCCTGTGGCCTTCTGAGTTAACCTCCGTGACATTCCCACTGCCTGCAGCACTTTGACCCCAGGTAGCTACAGAATTATGTCTGTCATTTATTGTCTGTCTCTAACAGGTGTAGGAGCCACACCTGGTGGGCCTGATGTAGTCATTGATTGGCCACAAGCTTCCAAAACAGTTCCTGGCGTGTTATAAATAGTAAATGTTGGTTGAATGATTGCTGCTGCTGAAGTTACTCAGATATTATTGGTTGAGATGTTTTCTCGTACTACCCTAAAAACATAGCCCCTCCCATCTCTAGCATTTTCTGTAAGAAAATATAAGTGCTGAGAACACTTTCTTAAAAAGTAAACATTGAACCACCACAGAGGATGGTCAGTTCCTGATGAACTATACTTTTTTTCAAACAGGAGGTGATATGGTCTGACTTTGGGTTTCCTGGAAGAAATGGACAGGAAAGTACATTGTGGATTGGCTCCCTGGGAGCCCATACTCCCTGTCATCTGGACTCCTATGGTTGCAACTTAGTATTCCAGGTACAAGGAAGGTAATGTGTGTGCATGTGTGCATGTGTGGGTGTCCAATCTTATATGTCTGCACACACAAGAGTGAAGAAGAAAAGGGAAAGGAAGGGGGGGTGAGATAGTAGCCCCACCCCGTTCCCCATCCACCATCCTTGTGACCAAGGTCCTCCTCCCTTCACCACTGTGCTGTTTCCTTCCGTGTGAAGTGAGGGCACATGAAATGACTTCCGTGTGTCTCAGCCATGATTGGATTCTCTCAGAGGTCCCATCTTGCTAGGCACCTTTCTGCTAAGCTTTTTTACCTGGGAGTGTTCACATTCCACTCCCTCCACCTCTCAAATGAGTTAGAACAGAGAAGTGTGTTGAAAGAAAGAGGCTTGGGGGCTGGAGAGATGGCTCAGAGGTTAAGAGCATTGACTGCTCTTCCGGAGGTCCTGAGTTCAATTCCCAGCAACCACATGGTGGCTCACAACCATCTGTAATGAGATCTGGTGCCCTCTTCTGGCCTGCAGGCATACATGGAGGCTGAACATTGTGTACAAAATAAATAAATAAATAAATAAATAAATAAATCTTTTAAAAAAAAAAAAAGAAAGAAAGAGGCTTCACCATGACCTTAGAGATGCTGGCAGGTGCCAGGAAGCCTGGGTCACATGGTTTTTATGCCTCACTTTGACTTTGGTTTGTGAGTCTGTGTCTGCCTACTCAGCCAGTACAGTCTGTTATTTAGATGAACTTTTGTCTCCACCTGACTAAGTGGCAGAACCGAGTGGCCAGCACCTGATAACTGAGTTTGGCAACCTGGAGGATGTACTTTGGTGTCATAAGTACAGCCTCATTTCCCCTAATATGTGGGCCCTGACTTCCCTTCTGGCCCTTTGTGACATTTGCAGGACATCTCATAGAAAAAGCCAGAAATGGCCACAAACAAATTCCCAGCATCATTGGACACAAAATGATGAATGGATCGAGAGAAATAGTCTGTGTTTGGAGGGGTGGATATGAGTCAGCTGGGAAGCTATGGGGGGCTGAGCAGTTCCCTCTTGGTCTGTTGCGTCCTTGCTAAAGGCCAACCTCTGGGTGTACTGTTGTATATGGAGAGTCAGCAGGGAGTCCTGTATGAGTTTCTCTACCCTTCTGCAGATAAGAGTTTGGGAGCTGAAATGGGATGCAATAGGGCATTGCTTTAAATTGCCTCTTGTGTGTGCTCTGAATTGGGAAGGAAGACAAAAAAAAGTCCAGGTTTTTCTTTGATAAAAAAATACAGCTTCATTGTAACTGTCTAACAGCAGCAGATTTCCCATTTTCATGGCACTCTGATGACATTAAATAGGTTTTGTAAACATCTATTGGGTGTCCATCAAGTTCTGTGTGAAAGAATAAGTACAGAGGCCAGGACTCTGCCCTGAGAGCGTTCCCATCTGTGGTGCCTCCTGGCCTACAGAGAGAGGTGAAGGAGTGTTTGCTCTTGAAGGAGGCTTCAAAGCATTGGAACTGAAAGGTGGAAGAGGCGGGGCTTCTGTGGGAAGGATCAGCTGATGTGTGTAGTGGCCTTTGAAGCAGGGTCCATGTCTATATCACTCAGATGGAAGGGACACAGGGTCCAGGAAAGCAGGGGCTGTGCAGAGGACCCTGTGTAAATTGTGAATTAGGAACAGTCGGACTGGGCAGAAAAGTCAGGGAGAGCATAAAGGTCTTTAGTTGCATACAGACACCCCAATTCTCCACTCCTTCCTTACAGAACCATGGGAGGCTTTTGATCAGGGAATGGCGTGGTGATGCAGTTCTCCTCTAGAAGGATTTGCACATTTTAAGGTGTGGAGTCAAACAAAGCAGATGGGTAGCTTGGTTGTGATGACTGTTTCCCTGGGAGATGCTGCTGTAGTATAGGGGAGAAGCCAAGGTATAAGTGTTTTGGGTGTCCGTGAGCTCAAGAGACACTGAGCAGACATGGATCTCTCTACCACTACTTTGGAAATGAAGTTGACAATCTCTTCAGAGCCCATCCAAAATTAGCTTCTGAGCAAACCAAGTAATCAAAGATGGCTTCCACACTAGCAACAGGTGCTGTGGAGTCAAACAGCCCTACCTGGAGTAACCGTCAGTCAGGCATCTGATCTTCAACAGTTCTCCCCCTGTAGCTGTGTGATAGTAGGCTGCCCTTGAATTCCAGAAGTCAAGCACTTCACTGTGTCTGTGAAACCTTCAGAGTTCCAAAATGAAATAAGACTTCAGTATATATTTGGTATTATATTTGGTATTAGACATGGCAGCCACCACTTCCCTGTTCAGAAAGGGCTGATGGTACCAGGGAGACACACAGGAGAACCTTATATCTTTTCATCAGATAAAATTTTAAGAAAAAGATTTATTACCCCCATTCCTAAAAAGGTCCAGTTTATAAAACAATTGTCTCTTTTTTAAAAGATCCTCAATTACACTACTTTGGGTTATATGGCATTTTTATGAGTTTCTCATCCTTCATAGATCAGTGTAACATGTCTAACTTCCAGACAGGAGAGGTCCAGAAGCTATTTGCTGGGGAGAGCTTTGGGGGCGTTATTCAGGATTATATTAGCACACAGACATTTGCAGGGCTAGAGAGATGGCTCAGCTGGTAAACTGTCGCTGCAAGAACATGATGGTCTAAGTTCAGTACCCAGCACTGCATAAAAGGCCAGGCGTGGTACATGTCTGTAACTCAGGAGTTGAGCGAGGCAGAGACAGGAGGCCCTAGGGGCTGATTGGCCACACAGGCTCTCCAGTCTGAGCTCTGGGTTCAGAGGGAGCTCCTGTCTTAAAAAGTAAGGTGGCGCTCCTTTGTGGTGACACAGGCTGTTAATCTCAGCACTCAAAGGTAGAGACAGGAGGATCTTTATGAGTTTGAGGCCAGCATGGTCTCCATAGTAAGTTCCAGGATAGCCAATGAGGTTACATAATGAGAACATGTCTCAAAAGACCAGGAAAAAAAGTTGAGGCAATGCATGATGAGGAAGACAGCATTGTCAACCTCTTGCCTCCACACACATGCACATGCATCCGTATGACACGTACAAACACACATCACACAAAAAGAATACAGAAAGGACAAAGATTATTCTGGTTAGCATCAGGGTTAGGAGAGAAAGCAGTGATAAGGAAGCAAGCTTTGATATAAGATGAAAACAAGGAGAGAGAACCTATCCCTGCAATGAGAGGGGCTCCCTCAGCAGGGCATGAGAAACCCACTGGAAAGCTGCTTTCCACCAGACATCTGCAGGGGATCAGCTGTGAGTGAGAGGCCAGGTGACCACTGTGGTGGTGCCTGTGTTTCTGTAGGAAGGGAATTTAAACCAGTAAGACTGAACACTGGGCTGCCACCTTCCTACATGTTTTGTCTCAAGTTGAGAGAGTTTTAACTGGTATCTTATTTTCTCCTTAGGAAACAATGGCATCTCTTTCCTCCTGAAGATACGCCTTCCCTTTATCCAACCAGAATCCCTTACGAAGAGTCTAGTGTGTTCAGTAAAATCAATGTTGTCAACCCTGACTTAAAGCGTTTTCCTCAATTCCAGAAAGCTCGGAGACATACGGTCACGCTGAGCCCAGGACAGGTAATGGGGCTTTAAACATCGATGACCTGTCAGTGGACACCACAGCCAGGTGACTGTACTTCTCTCCCTACAGATGACAATGGAGTCCTCCCTGCAGCCCTGCTGCTGGAGGCCAGCTTCCCATCTGTGGGCTTGAGACCTACAGCTCTGCCCTGAAGAAATGGGTAGAGGGAGCACAGCTCCTCCTGCTGGTGAAGAGGAGACTAGGCCTTGAGAAAGCCATTCTTTTCACCCAGGTGAAGAGATCATGTCAGAGTGTGGGTACTAGGATGTTTATTCCCAGTTAATACCTGTTCTGGTGACAGTGAGCACCGGCTTAGTGCACCCAGGCCCTCAGAGGTCGACTGAGGATGATCTTTGCTTTTCCAGCAAGAATGGCAACTGCTTCCGAATCACTTCTGAAGAGACTGTTATTTCCCACTGCCACCTTGTGGGGAAAATTCCCTCTACAACACTGGCACTTGCCTGCCCCAGTTTCTTACCATCTGGAAGGTTTTCTTGGTCTCACAGAGAATCCATTCCCTCAATCACCGTTATCCAGTCTTCCCCACATTGCTCCCTCCTTGCTAGCTCTTCTCCTGCTCTCTTCACACATGTCTTACCAGTTCACACATGTCCAACCAGTTCACACATGTACTGCCAGATGGACCTGGTCCAGTTGCTTACATTTCTGGACAAGACACTGCCCTTCATGCCTCTTCCCACAACCCCCGACTATTACTACTTTACATTGTATCCATGAATTTTCCTATTCTGGGCATTACACATGCATCCATACATGTGGAACATGTTTTCAAGGCAGAACAATTCCTGATTATGTAGATGTGCCACGAGCTGCTGTGAACGGGTGCTGCTGCCGTGAGCATTGTGTAAGGTTCATGGTTATTTGTGGCAGGTGGTCCAGGTGACTGTGGCTGACTGGCCTTCTGAGAGGTTGCTAGTGTTCTCTGCAGTAGCTGTTTTACATTCCTGCCCATGATGTCTGACATCTGCTTGCTGTGATCCTTCCCCGGCAGCCTCCCCCACACCATCGTAACTTAAGGAGCTTTTCCAGCAGGTAAAGGAGACACACTGCATGTTGCCATCCGTCAGAATGTGCACCGCTCCTCTGCAGTGGGAAAGAGGAAGAGCTGGGATTCCAAAGCCTTTACTAAAGTTTAGATGTCAACAGAGAAGTCACAGGACTAAGAAGAACAGAAAGCCGCCAGCATCCTGTGTAGGCCTCTGAACTCACCAGTTAGAGGAGGAACACAGGAGACAGCTGGGGTTCTTCTTCCCCTTCACTCTGCTCCCTTGGATTCATTGTCTCTTTCCCTTTAGCAGTCTCAGTTAGAGTGAGAAATGCTCTGTTCTCGTGTTAACTACTTTTCATTTGGTTTTCAGGTTCTGTTTGTTCCCAGACACTGGTGGCATTATGTGGAATCCATTGATCCTGTCACCGTCAGTATAAACTCCTGGATTGAGCTGGTACTTTTTCTTGTTGTCCTTTAAATGAAAAAACAAGAAAGAGAAAGAGAGAGACACACACACACACACACAGAGAGAGAGAGAGAGAGAGAGAGAGAGAGAGAGAGAGAGAAAATCCCCAAGATAAGAAAAGCCTGTGTGCAAAATTCGACCACTAATTTTGTGTGACCAGGATGATTTTGTTTGTATGCTCTCTTGTTTTGCTTGAGTTTGTTGTATTGTGTTTTGTGTGAGATGGGGTATCTCCACATAGGCCTCAAACTCACGGTCCTCCTGCCTCAGTCTCCCTAATGCTGGGATGCCACACATGCTACTTTGCCCAGCTACTCCCTTGACATTGATGGTTCCCTTGAGTGGTATCAGGAAAGTCATGATAGACCTGGTGGGGTCTGCATATATGTCTAACACTGCTGGTTCCATCCCACACTATCGCAGAGGGAAATATCTGCTTCTTGGTTCAGGGTCCTCATTTCTAACCATGACTTAAACATTGTCTCAAGTAGAACCATGTAGCCCTGTATTCTTAGCACTCATTTCTGCCAGGAGCCTTTCCCAGTACCAGCTTCCTCCCGGTTCCCTGTTGTATTTGACAGCACAGTAGCCATCAGAACCAAGTCTGGCACTTACCCGACGCTCCAGTTGCGTCTGCGCTGCCTTTAATTGCAGTCTTTGATTGCATCTTTAGGAATCCGGTTGCCCTCCTTAACCTGAAGCCTGACATTTCTCTGCTCTCTTTGGCAGATGTATCCTACCCTTGGTAAGGTATTTCCCTCAGTTATGGGAAGGACTTTGGAGTAGGTGTATCCTGAGAGTTACTGGAACAGGAAGCAAGCTGTACTTAAGAGCTGAGGGAAGAGGGGACACAGAGCTCCTGGGGCTTAGGTGAGGAGTGTGCAGGGAGATAGCAGCCTCACAGCTAGAAAGTGCTTGGAACTGCAGCTGGAGCAAATGTGAGATGGAGTCCCTGCAGGAATCACACCTGCCATTCCCCGTGTCCCCAGCAGATGGCTCACACCAGGCATGTTCACTTTCTGCATTTAGAAAACAGTGATTGTAACTGAACCCAGCTCAGCAGCCTAGAGATGAAGCTTAAATCAATTAGCACTGCTAACTCGTTCTGATGTTCCTGTCCTGAATCTTTAAACAGGAGCTAGAAGGCTCTAGTTCAGTGCAGGTGGTACAGTATCTACCCTTCTTGGTTTCACTGTTGAAATGCAGATTCTGCCTTACAGGCTCTGGGGTAAAGTGTGTTCTCAGATATTCCTAGTAGTGCTTTTACTCAATTTTTACATCAGTATTTTATTTCAACTTAGCTTAGAATTTTTTTTATTTTTAAATATTTCCTCTCATTCTTTGATTTTTTTTCCTTTGAAATGTAGGACTCTTTCAGAGAAGCAGAGTTCAGTTCCTAGCACCCATGTCAACTGACCCACAGCTATCTATTAATTTCAACTCCAGAGGATCCAACACCCTCTTCTGGCCTCTACAGACACTACACACACACACACACACACACACACACACACACACACACACATGCACACACACACACACATCTACACCTAAATAAGATAAAAATAAGTCTGTTTTTTAAAGATAATGTAGTATCAGTAAATCCATTCACTACCTAATAACTCCAAACTAGAGCACTGATAACTGTATCTGTATTTTGTCCCTTCCAAGTCCTCCTTCAGGCTAGTCTTCTGTTTTCATGTTCTTGCTTAAAAAGAAAATTTAGCTTTGTTGGCTATGTCCATCCATCCACATAGCTACCGGTACTCTGTCCGGAGAGCTCTGGCAAACCATATGACCCATTGTTCCATGGACGTTTCCTGGGAAGGTCCAAATGCTCGCCTGCTTACCGCGTTCTGTTGGAGTCCTGACACAGAATCCTTCTCAGCCTTTTGCTACTGATGCTGACAACCAAGTGACTGAGGAGCCCCGCCCCCATCTCCTGTGTAATCTTCCCCTCATGTCAGCACTGACTGTGATGCCAACCACGGCTCGGGATTCCCCACGGTGCCATCTAGACTTGTGTTGACTGAACACCTGGGCATCAAAGCCTAGCCAGCTTGACCCCAAAATTTTCCACCCCCCAAAACGTCCCACGTTGCTTCTCTGTTTCCCCTGTTAGTTCCCAGCCCACTTCTCGGGGTCCTGCACCACTTTACCTGCCCATCAGCCGTTGTAGACCGAGTTCCTCACCTCCTTACCCCACCTGTGGGATCTGTTGTTTACGCTGCATCCACGTCAGCGTGAAGTGAGGCCTCACTGTGGGGATTTCCTTTATAAATTCAGTGCTGTGTTTCTCAGGCTTGACTGTATTGAGGACAACTTTTCTCTTCTTCCTGTGGCCTGTTGGTCTCTTGCATCAAGGTACTACTGAGTAGTTGTTACTGGCTGTTCTGCTGGTGGATAATTGTACGGTTTGCAGTTTTTTGCGTTCATGAACAGAATCTTTCTTGTACATGTCTTCTGACATACATGTGCAAGAGTTTCTTCAGGGATGGTGTATAGACATGGAGTGGTGGCTGGTCTGTGGGTACACAGGACTCTAGGTGATGAGATGATGCCAGCATATTTCCAAGTGTCCCTCACAACATGCATTTCTATCTTTAGTGAAGCTGTGTCTGTCAGTCTGTTTCCTCAGCACAGGCAAATCAGACCATCTTCTGAAAGTGTCAGTTGTGATTTTCCTGACGGTTGGCTGTTTTCAGGCATCTCTCAGTCAGATATTCTTCTTTTTAAAATGTCCATTTTCATGTCTGTTGCCCATTTACAAAATTATTAATATGTGCAAAATTCTTGTGGGTTCTATATGATAAGCTCTTTTTAGTTAAGTGTGTAAAAGCATCTGTTTTAAATGATTTTTCTTGCTCTGTTTTTTAAGGAATAGAAGTTATTGGTTTTAATTCTATTCATCAGTAATGCTGTATGATATACCTTTTGTTTATCAAGAAGCTGTGCTTAGATGTTTACCCACTTTTTGTTTGTTTTGTTTTCTGAAACAGTTTCCCTAAGTGGCCTCAGATGGGCCTGCAGTCTGTCAACATGTCCTGGAGATTTCAGACTCCAGACTCCAAGGGATCCTCCATCTTAGTCTGTAGGCTTGCATCCCACGCCCAACCTCTCACTACCCCATCCCCACATTGGGGAATCTGGTCCCAGCCCCCATGGGGCAGGCATGTGTTCTCCTCTTGTGTGACAGCCTCTCCACAGCCCAGCCGCCCCATTCCCCATGTTTCACATGAATTTGCTTTTAAACTTCATAGAAGTCATTACTCCATGTGATTAATACTTTTAAACAATTGGACATACCAAGGAGTGGGAAAGATTAGGAAAAAATTATCTAAGGTCATTTGTACACAAGGCCTGTGTCTTCTAAAAAAAAATCATTCCTAATTTTGGTGCATTGTCTGTCCTACACTAGTGTAGATGGCAGATGATAATGAACACAGGAGAGTCCTGGTGCTCCCAGCAACACACTGGTTCCTTCTGTGACAAAGTTGACATTTGTGGGGGAACAGAACATACAACTAAAAGAGACTCTGAAATCGTGAGGCACAGAGATGAATAACAAAATGGTGTTTTGTCATTCTAATTTTGTAATTTTAATGTTTTATCTCATCTTAGGAGGAGGACCACCTAGCGCGGGTGGAAGAGGCAATCACCCGCATGCTCGTGTGTGCCCTGAAGACTGCAGAGGATCCGCACCACCCTAGAGCCTGGCTGAACCCCACTGAGGTAGGATGGCCAGGTTTCCATCCTGGCTCTTGGATTTTGATGGTGAATCGGTCAGGACAGAGTGTTGGTTTCCACTTCAGCTCAATCGGGTCTGAAGGGCTATTCTTCTTCCTAGGTTGAAGAAACATCTCATGAAGTGAATTGCTGCTACTTAAATGATGCTGTTTGTGCTTTTTTTGCCCACTGTGGAAAAGCTAAAGAAGTAGAAATGCAGGCACTGAGCGTAAACGGGGAGAACTGGAGGAAGGAAGAGCCAAGGAGGCAGGATCACATGGAAGTAGAACAGGCACACAGCCAGTGCTTTACAGTGCAGACGGAGACACAGGAGGTCACCTGTCTGTTTGGCCCAGATCTGGTCCCTGTGACACCCACATCGGACGATCCACCTTCAGAGAAAGGATGTGCATTGGAAAATGACAGCAAAGAATGTGTTGACAGAGATGGAGAGCACGCTACAGAACTGTCCTGTGCCAGGAGGCAACAAACTAGGAGAGGAGCAAGCGCAGTGGCGGAGCAGGTCACCTCGAGGTGCGCTGTGGCTCCATCTTGGACATCCGTGTCCACAGATGACTTGCTGGACTGCCTGGTAAATCCACAAGTGACCAGGTTGGTGGCCCAGCTTTTGATACAAGGAAAAAGTTTGTGATTCTAATAGATTATTTTTTAAATAAAATTTTAAAATTTAATTTTAGAACTAGTATGACAGGCTTATTTGTTTGCTTTTTACGTAGTGTTTTTTACTTATTCTTTGAGGCGTAATATCTGTATACAGTATATTTGGACTGTCTCCTCATTGCCCACCTCCCGTCTCTTCCCAGTCCCCTTCATCCCCCTCCAAACTTTGTATTGTTATATTCATTCTCTTTTCTTGTTTTTCAACACCTTGAGTCCAATTACTGCCCCCTATATGCACGTGGTGTATGGCTGTCCACTGGGCCCTGACTAGCCTTCCAGGGGTGAAAAAGGACGCTTAAAAGAAATCCCACACTAGCTCAGAATTGAGAAGAATAGATGGTTATTTATTTAGGGGGCAGACTCACAAATCAGTATCCTCTGCTGGATCGGAGAACAGTAACCGAATCCCGCAGCCAGAAAGAGGCCGGACACGTGCTTTTCATTGGTATATATAGTATAAGAGGCCACGCCCCAGTGGACGGGTAACTTACAGGCTACAGTAGGAATTCCTACAGCACAGGGGCTATACACCTAAAGAAAATTGACTTTCCTTCACGAAGGAGCCAACAGCTAGGGGTGTGGGTTCATGTGCCTG